CTCATGAATATCAGCCACATATACTTTTTGTTTATGTCTCACCCTGTAATATTGGTGTTTCTCGTCTCCATTATACAGATGACGAAACTGAGGCCCAAAGAGCAAAATTGGCTTGCCTGGTCACAAACACCAAATTCAGGTCGAATAAACAGTTGTAGGACTTATGTGGAGGGTGTGTCTGTGTGGGGAAGTTGAGTAGAAATTTGTTTAATGTATGCAGAATCAACTTATTTTGCTGCTCTCAGGAATCACAATATCCAATCTAGAAAGGCCTGTAGGGCTATCTAGTCCAACTTCACTTTTCATATGGGGAAGAGAGAGAGAAGAATGTGTCTAAAGTTGCGTCGCTGACTGATGGGATGGAACTAAGGCCTCCCAACCACAGTTTAGTCTTCCTGCTTAATAGCACTTATCAGACATTTGTTGTGCACTTGCTGTGTGTTCAGTGGTGTATTGGGAGGAATAGTGTGATTTTGCCACTTTGGACCTATCTAAAAAGTAATAATAGCTAGAAGTGCTTGCTGTGTGCCAGAGCCAGACAAAGTGCAAAATGCTTTGCTCTTGTTATTTTATTCAGCTCTCAGGGGTATGTGGAAGTAGGTACTCTAATTTTCTTACGTCTGCAGATGGGGAAGCTAAGCTTAGGTAGGTTAAGTGATTAGCCCAAAGACATACAGCTGCAGCTGGCAATCGGCAAAGCCAGGAACCAGACCAAGGGTTTTGAATCTAGAGGCTACTGAAAGTTGAATAAAGAAGCAACTTTATTAGAGATACAAAAAATGTCAAATGAGGAACATGAGAGGGAAGAGTAGAGATGATGAGAGAAAGCGTCACAGTGAAACTTGTTGGACTTGGAAGGCAGAAGTAATAGCTGTCACTCTTTGATCCCTGACTGCATGTTAGGTACAGCCAGTATACTGTACAAAGATTATCTCACATAATCCTACAGCATCCCTATAAGGTGAATGTTATCCTCATGTTACAAATGAGGAACCTGATATTTAAAGAGGTTGAATAGTGTGTCCAGAGGTACAGTTGTA